TCAAGACGGCCGCTATCTGGAACGAGACCGAGTTTGCCGCTCTCGAGGAGAATGCCCCCGCCATCCTCGAGGCTATTCGCACCAAAGGCACCAGCCCCTCCGCCCGCCTCGCTCCCATTCGTCATATCCTCAAGCGCATTGTGTTGGGCTCTGCCGGCGTCAAGGCCGAGGTCGTCTCGGCTGACGAGCGCGAGGGCGGTCTTCGCAACCTGCTCAACTTTGGTCACTCCATTGGCCATGCCTACGAGGCTATCCTTGCGCCCCAGGTCCTGCACGGCGAGTGTGTTGCTATCGGCATGGTCAAGGAAGCCGAACTGGCTCGCTTCCTCGGCGTCCTTCGCCCCGGCGCTGTTGCCCGCCTGACCAAGTGCATCGCGAGCTATGACCTACCTACCTCCATGCACGACAAGCGTATCGCGAAGCTCTCGGCTGGCAAAGAGTGCCCTGTCGATGTGCTGCTTCAGAAGATGGCTGTTGACAAGAAGAATGAGGGCCGGAAAAAGAAAATCGTGCTGCTGTCGGCCATTGGCAAGACGTATGAACCCAAGGCAACCGTCGTCGACGATCGCCCCATCCGAGTCGTTCTGTGCCCCTCTATTCGCGTTACGCCGGGTGTCCCGAGTAACCTCTCGGTCAGCGTGACTCCGCCCGGCTCAAAGAGCGTCTCTAACCGCGCACTCATTTTGGCCGCCCTGGGGCAGGGCACGACCCGCATCCACGGGCTCCTCCACTCGGATGATACGCAGTTCATGCTTGCCGCCATCGCTCAGCTCCAGGGTGCCACCTACTCTTGGGAGGATGCCGGGGAGGTCCTCGTCGTCAAAGGCAGAGGCGGCAAGCTGCAGGCCAGCGGCGAGTCACTGTACCTTGGTAATGCCGGCACCGCTTCGCGCTTCCTCACGTCCGTGGTGGCACTCTGCTCTCCCACCACCGCCTCTTCCACCGTCCTGACGGGCAATGCACGCATGAAGGTGAGACCCATTGGCCCACTTGTCGATGCGCTACGCGCCAATGGCGTGGCCGTCGAGTACCTCGAGAAAGAGAAGAGCTTGCCAGTCCGGGTGGACGCCAATGCCGGATTCGCTGGCGGCGTTATCGAGTTGGCCGCTACCGTCTCGTCGCAGTATGTCTCGTCCATCCTGATGGCTGCGCCCTACGCACACAAACCTGTCACACTCCGACTCGTCGGCGGCAAGCCCATCTCACAGCAATACACCGATATGACCATTGCTATGATGGCATCCTTTGGCATCAAGGTCGAGAGGTCGACTGAGGATCCCAACACCTACCATATTCCACAGGGAGTTTACCAAAACCCAGCCGAGTACGTCATCGAGAGCGACGCCAGCTCGGCGACTTACCCCTTGGCCGTCGCTGCCATCACCGGTACCACTTGCACCATACCGAACATTGGCTCTGCGTCACTCCAAGGTGATGCCCGTTTTGCTGTTGAGGTCCTCCGCCCCATGGGCTGTACCGTAGAGCAAACTGAAACCTCGACCACGGTGACCGGACCGCCTGTTGGGACGCTCAAGGCTATCAAGCACGTCGACATGGAGCCCATGACTGACGCCTTCTTGACTGCCACTGCTCTCGCCGCTGTCGCCTCGGGGACTACCCAGATTACCGGAATCGCGAATCAGCGCGTCAAGGAATGCAACCGGATCGCAGCCATGAAGGACCAGCTCGCCAAGTTCGGTGTTGTCTGCAACGAGCTCGAAGATGGTATTGAGGTGATCGGGAAACCGTACCAGGAATTGCAGAACCCCGCCGAGGGTATCTACTGCTACGATGACCACCGCGTGGCCATGAGTTTCAGTGTCCTGTCGACGGTTTCCCCCCATCCCGTGCTGATTCTTGAACGGGAATGCACCGCCAAGACGTGGCCGGGGTGGTGGGATATCCTGTCGCAGGCTTTCAAAGTCCAACTGGCTGGGGAGGAGGACCCGACCGCAAAGCACGTCGTCAAGTCATCCCGCTCGGGCACGGACCGATCCATATTCGTGATCGGGATGCGTGGCGCGGGCAAATCCACGGCCGGCCGGTGGATGTCCGAGATACTGAAGCGGCCCTTGATTGATCTGGATGTTGAGCTGGAAAGGAGAGAGGCCACGACCATTCCGGATATCATCCGCGGTGAGCGCGGCTGGGACGGCTTCAGGAAGGCCGAGCTCGAGCTCCTCGAGGATGTGATGAAGAACCAATCCAAGGGTCACATCTTCTCCTGCGGTGGCGGCCTCGTCGAGACCGAGGAGGCGCGCAAGCTGCTCATTTCATACCAGAAAAACGGCGGCTGCGTCCTCATGGTGCATCGCGATACCGACCAGGTCGTCGAGTATCTGATGAGGGACAAGAGCCGCCCAGCCTACTCCGAGAACATTCGGGAGGTTTACTACCGTCGCAAACCATGGTTCGAGGAGTGCAGCAACTTCCAGTACCACAGCCCACATTTGGATGGCTCCGAGTCGCTGCTCGAGGCCCCAGCCGATTTCAGCCGATTCCTCTCCGTCATCTGCGGCCAGTCTTCGCACTTGGAGGACGCCCGTAAAAAGAAGCACACCTTCTTCGTCTCGCTGACTGTCCCTAATGTTGCCACGGCTCTGGACATCATCCCGAGAGCGGTCGTGGGATCCGACGCGGTCGAGTTGCGCGTGGATTTGTTGGAGAGCTTTGACCCAGAGTTCGTGGCGCGCCAGGTTTCCCTCCTCCGATCCGCAGCCAAGGTTCCTATCGTCTACACTGTACGCACGGTCAGTCAAGGGGGTAAGTTCCCTGACGATGACTACACGCTGGCTCTCCAGCTCTATCACATTGGCCTGCGTACGGGTGTGGAGTACCTTGACCTGGAAATGACGATGCCTGCTGATATTCTCGACGCCGTGGCCGAGTCGAAGGGTTTCACCCGCATCATTGCCTCCCATCACGACCCCCAGTCCAAGTTGTCGTGGAGGAACGGCTCATGGATTCAGTTCTACAACAAGGCGCTACAGTATGGTGATATCATCAAGCTCGTGGGCATGGCCGGCGAGGTTAGTGATAATTTTGCTCTCACGAACTTCAAGACGAAGATGCTCGCTGCCCACGACGTCCCCATCATCGCACTCAACATGGGCCACGCGGGCAAACTCAGCAGGATGCTCAACGGCTTCATGACGCCAGTCTCTCACCCGGAACTACCAGCCAAGGCGGCCCCTGGGCAGCTCTCGGCTACTGAGATCCGGCAGGCACTTTCCCTCATTGGTGAGCTCGAGCCCAGGTCTTTCTATCTCTTCGGAAAGCCCATCAGCTCGTCGCGCTCGCCCGCACTTCATAACACGCTGTTCGGCGCGGCTGGATTGCCCCATAGCTACTCAAATTTCGAGACAGACAACGCTTCGGATGTCCAGGACCTCATCCGCTCCCCGCACTTCGGCGGCGCCTCGGTGACCATCCCGCTAAAGCTCGACATCATGCCCCTCCTGGATAGCATCTCGGATGCCGCGCGCTCCATCGGCGCCGTCAACACCATCATCCCCGTGCCGTCCGCAACCGGGGACAAGCCAATTCTCCTCGGCGATAACACCGACTGGATGGGCATGGTCTTCTCGCTCCGCTCCGCCGGCCTCGTCCAGCGGACTGCAGCGTCCCCCGGAGCCGCCATGGTGGTTGGCTCAGGCGGCACCACCCGCGCAGCTATCTACGCGCTCCACTCACTGGGCTATGCGCCCATCTATCTGGTCGCACGGGCCCCGGAACGGGTCAAGGAGATCTCGGACGGCTTCCCCGCCGACTACGACATCCAGCATCTGGCCACACCAGAGGAGGCCGCTGCCGTGGCCGGGCGGGATGCGCTCCCGGGCGTGGTCATCAGCACGATCCCGGCCGACAAGCCCATCGACTCGGGCATGCGCGAGGTGCTGGTGGCCGCGCTGCAGAGCGGTGGCGCGTCGGGCCAGACCAAGGGCGAGCCGCGCGTGCTGCTGGAGATGGCCTACACGCCGAGGCACACGCCGCTGATGCAGCTGGCGGAGGATGCCGGGTGGACGACCATTCCCGGGTTGGAGGTGCTTGCTGCACAGGGGTGGTATCAGGTATGTCGCATCTTCTCTGTAAAACTTTGTGGGTGATTACTAACTAAGCTGCAGTTCCAACTCTGGACGGGGATTGCGCCCATCTATGCTGATGCGCGGGCGGCTGTCCTAGGGAATGAGTCTTCGTAAGGGGGGGGGTCGGGGGGTTTGTGGTGGATATGCGTGGCTCCGGGGTTGTGCGTGTTGGAAGTTGTGATAGAGTAGAAGTACTAGTAGTTCCTTTTGAGGTTCTATCGTTGAACCCTATACATTCCTAGGAAATATGGACCTGTTCTATTTCGCAAACTTGGGTGTTTTGCCCTGGTGTGAGTGAGAGTTTGTGAGCGTGGCGCGGCTGGCTCAGGGGCTGGGAACTCATTGCACCTACATACGACCCTAGCAACTTGCACCCACTTGTACCTACAACCCTGACACAACCCGTGCACCCGCTTACACACAACCCTTGAGGCTCATCAAACCTCTTTTTGGTGGTATCAAACCACTTTACTCCGGTCTGTTAAGATACAATCAACGGCCAGGTCGACTGACTTGAATCTTTAAAAGGACTATTTAGAATTAAATCCTGGAATAAATGGCCACTGATTCACAACCGAAATCATTAATCTTGGGCTTATTTTGGGAATTTTGTCGGTGTAGTCGGTTTGAGAATCTCGACTACCTACCTATTCAACTGCGAAGATATAGGGGTAGATAAGCTAAGGTAAAGTAAAGCCATCGTAGTTGAGCGAGCGAGTTCGAGCTAGGAGACGAACTAAGCAATCAAGCCCAGGGCTAGAGGTGAGCACGAGCTGGTAAGTTGACGGCTGAAGGGCGGTGACGGTGCTGGCGTAGTAGTTTGTCGGGCCCTGGGCGATGGCTGGTCGTCCTATTTGGTGTCTGGTGAGGGCGGTCGTCGGCCGGATACATGGTGGCTTCGCTTTAGACAAACCGGGGCCCAGGCAGTTTTAACCGTATCACAGTACCCGGATTCCATTCGTTTACGGGCTTTGTTTATTTTGTTTACAACAACCCCAGAGGTAGGATGAGTGCAGCGCATCTTCCTTCGATCCCGCCGCCCTATTTCCTGATCGAGGACCACCACCCACCCCTTCCAAGGTTGGCCGAATCATTCTTTGACGTTGGTCCTCAACCTCCCCCCGGCTCAGTTCAAGCCTCCTCCGGGCTGTGTTGGAGCCCATGACCTCCCGCCGGAGCTGGGCTGAAACCGCTGCCCCGCGGCGCCTGGGATGGGCCCCGGACAGAAAAGAGCATATCCCACCCCCTCCCCGCTCCCCGTTCTCTCTCCGCTTCTCCTCCCTGCCCCCCTCTTCCTCTCCCCAAGAAGTTTCGTAGCCGGCTGTCTCTAATGGGGGTTGGTTGGTGAGCTCTCGATGTTTTCTTTTTGGCGAGCTAACGCGTGAGGTTGCTAGTCTTTTGGTGAGGATAGTTGATCCAAGAGAGTGCGTGCTTTGGGGAAGTCTGGTACTGTACCCGGCGCCATGCCAGCCCGACAGGAAGGAGAGTTCTGACAACGCATCCTACTGCTGCTCTGATGTAACAGTCCGCGTCATTTCTGTGTCGATCAGCGATTCTGTTTGGGCCTGGTATGCCTGCCGTTGGTTTTGGGTGCCCAACCGCCAACCTAGCACATTGGGTGAGTGACGAATGCGTCTAGGACTGTGGCATGCCAGCCATGCCAGCTTGCCAGGCTACATGGTCGCCGTAGGGACACAGTGCTATCGAAGCATCATGATCGGCCTCACAGCCTCGCGCGTTTGCACCATCGAGATGCCCTCCGGGGCTATTCGCTGCGCTCTGGGTCTCCCTATACGTATGTATACGTATGCTATCGACCAATCATCGTTGAATCACTCTGTGGGCTTTGAGGCGAATATCGTCAGCGATCTCAAGGTTAGGCCGGGTGTGTTACTCCCGGATCAAGATGGTGTGTTGGTCGTTGGGCCTATTTGGATCTAGATACTAGATTGCTAGGTTTGTCGTCCACGAAGACGATATGGTCCGCTCTTGGCGGCCCCGCATGACGTTACGCCGTAGGTTCTTAGTGGTCCAAGGCGCTGCTGGGGTAGGCTGTCGATCGAGGCTGAGAATTAAGGTGACCTCAGGTTACGTGCAGTAAGCGGTCTAGATCGAGATGCCGCTGGTTTATCCTTGTGGCTTCTTGGGGATCGGGAGCTCTAGATGATGCTAGTCATATCCCTGTATCGTCATCTGTTGTGCCATATCCGATGGAGTCGACGCAAACATCAGCAGAAAGATGAGATGACGGAAGAGCTCTACCCACTCTCTACGTCAGATTATCCGACTGTCTATGCAGCATCCAAGGACACCTGGCACACTTTACGTATGTACCAGTGGGATATCGCCAGGCCATGCCGGTCGCCAGTGATCGATAAACCCACGGCGGCGTGCGTGCGTGAGGGAGCATATGCCAGTACAGGAAAGAAGCAAGAACGTGTCCCAGTCCTTCCCCATCCCATTCACATTCCCATCTAATTCCCATCCATCTCATCAACCTTTCCCAACGAGGGCTGCCCTGCCATGCGGCCTTGCATCCGGTCCAAGTGTCAGGCGATAATACGTCACAAAGTCTACCCATCAGCCTTGATTCAGTCCATGAATCCCAATCCTGACTCGCTGCCGATCACGTGGGGGACGTCGCGGCTGGAACCGAGCAGATTGGGGTTGGCAGGCGGGTTCCAAGGCTTGCAAGGGCAGCGAGTTGTCCGTCACTGGGTAACATTGTTGACTGTTGTGGCAGAACGAACGGGAGTTGAGACGCGGGGACATACATGAGTGTGGTTGCAATGACACGTATCGGGGTTAATATATGCTACCTTGTCGAGGCTGTGAGCCTGCCATCCTCGCAGGTCTGCTGTCAAGTCTCGTTGACAGAGGCACCGCACCCGAAGAAAAGTCTGGTTAGAGAGCAATACAGTGAAGGGCTGCGTGTATTGCGCCTTGCTTTAGTACGGCCAGGCTTAATTTGACAAAGTATGGTATGAAGATAGCTGTATATCGCTTGCGGGTATTGGCCTTTTTTATCATTTCACAGAGCACTCGATTTTTGGAATATGCTCCCAATAAAACTCCTGATTGAATACCGAATGCTCCCTTCCCCGCCCAGTGCCTATGCTAAGCCCTAAAACCCCGAATTTTCCGACTCCAGTGCCCCCCGGGGGTCTTTTAGTCTATAGCTTAGGTCTGATGATTGTGCAGTACACTTTACAGAAAATCAGCAACCAAAAAAAAACAACGCTCCGCGCTACCCTCCCATAATTGTACAGTCTAATATGCTGTCCGGTTCGTTCCAACCAATGTCATCATCATGACTATCAAATACCCGGAAACAGAAAGGAAGAGAACCCGGAAAACCCGAGAGTAGCGTAATAAAAAGGGTTTTAAGCGAATGAAAAGTGACATCCAGAATTGTACAAGTGTGTGGGTTGTGAAGAAGCCACAATGATGAAGCGACCATCGGAAACGAGTTTTGCGCCCAAAAGTTGCATTGGTGATGTCGACCGGTGGTGCTAATGACGTCATGTCCAGTCCATCGCAAGAAGTCGATGGAGACAGGGATGACGAGATGGCTCCACAAAAAGATCGGCAGGGTCCTGTCTTCGCTGGCGACTGACCACTAGAGGAAGCGGTTTGGATTGCAACAAGCTCCCGAATGTGCTGGAAATAGCCAGGGACGTGGGTCCCTGCATGCGCAGAACAGACCCCAAACGGCTTTGAGCCTAGCGGCAGGCATGGCGGGGGGTTGCTTCGAGCCATGTTGGACCAATGTCAGGGGCGCAATGGTGGTGTCTCGAATGTCATCGCAACCCTCCATCAGCCCGGTCTTCAGACGAGATGGGGCGACGTCATCGCAATACGCGCAGACGAAAGCTTGGAAATCGCGCGGAAGCCCGCCGAAGCTTTGCCAAGCCGAGCCCAAGACTGTCTTGCGTCGTTGGACTGTGTTACGTCGTTGGGCTGGCTGTGCTGCGTCGTTGGTTGCTAGGTCCACGTGCTCCGTCACGCTCCGGCTCGAGAAACTTGGGATGATTGCGTTGGGGCCAAACTCGGAGCCGGGATGAAATCGGAGCCGGGTTGAGATCAGCTACCGCGGGCTCCGCGCTTGCGATGCTTTCCCGGGAACTCAACATCCGGGTGACACACGCGGTAGTGCCGAGTGAGTGCGTCCGCCCGGCTGAAAGACTTCTCATCGGTACAGAGCTCGCACCGGACTTTTTGCTTGCGAGCATTGTGGATGGTGTGTTCGTGCCGGGTAAGGTCGTAGGGTCTCGAGAAGAGCGTGTTACAGGGCTTTCCGGTGCTCGGGTTGATGCGGTCGCACCGGTGCGGACCGGCCTGCGTGTTGACCAGAGACGATTCCGCGCCCGGGACCTCTGGACGTCGTTGACCGCCGAGCCCATGGCCTTGCCGGTGGCCTTCCCTCTTATGCTTCTGCAGCAGAGCTGGCGTGTCGAAGCGCCTTGTGCAGCCGTGGTAAGTGCACGTATAAGTGCCGCCGTCGGCGCGGGTATCAGCCGGCCGTTGAGGGGCGCCGTGTGTCAACTCTGTCGCCCCGGTATCCGCAGACCCCAACCTCGTCGTCGCCCTCGAGGTGTTGCTATTCGAAGGCACCGCGGTTCGTGGTCGAGGTACGAACGGAAACTGCCGCTGGGGTGGCACGCCCGACGGCATCGATGAGCCGAGCAAGTTGTTGAAGGCGTTGTTGTTGCCCATGGGAATCCCATGGAACACTTGCTGGCTATGCGCCGCGGCCGCCTTGTTGATGGCGTCGGCATCAAAACCGGTGGTGTCTGGTTGATGGAAAAGGGGAAAGTCCCCATCACCCTCGGACTCGCGGTAGTCGAGCATCGCATCCTTGGGCGAGATGGTCTGAGGCGTCGTCATCCCCATGGACTGCCCCAACGCCTTTCGCATGGCGTTGTTGTCTTGTTGCCGCATTTTCTGCGCCGCACCCAACCGCATATGGCTAGACCCTAGGGCGCCCGATGCGGCAGCGACGTACGAGTCTTCCAAAGGTATGCCAGCCAGGGGGGACCCGGGGCGGAACGGCGACCGGTCGTGGGATGCCGACGAGACCGGCGAGTTTGTCACGGCCGATAAATGCTGGTTGTTGGCAGCTTGTACTCGCTGGCCGAAGAGGTTGGTCGTCGGCGATATTGATGTCTGAGCCGACGACTGCGGTGGTACGGAGAAGTTGGGGTTGAAGAACGAGCTTGCGTACTCGTCTATGGCGCGTTGGGTGTTTGGGACCAGTGGGGGGGTGACTATGGTGCCGACTGATGGTGAGTTCAACATGTTTGCAACGCAATCGAAGGGATTAGAACTAGTCTCACCACCGTTGCGCTTCTTGTCCGCCTCGGGCGGCGTGGCGGGAGAGTCAGGTGCCAAAGAACTCGCTGCCGATGCGGGCTGTGACCTAGACGGCCCAGTCGGAAGTACGAGGCCTCGGTCGTTCCTCCGTATTGGTGCAGCAGGCTGGTATGGGTAGCCTGAGGTGCCGGTGTTGTCGATAGGTCCGTAAGAGGTGAGGCCGGAATTGTAGGCGTCGTTGTTGATGTTAGAGAACGTCTTGGGTGTTTGTGCCAGCTTGTAATTGCCCATACTTAGGTCGTCTGGTACGGGAAAGTACTGGGGATCATGCGGGTCGTTCATGGCAATTTGGGGGTTTGTGTAGTTGCACGGAAACGGCGATGGAGGGCCGTTCGAGCCCATGGACGACCGAGAAGAATCCCGCTGGTGCGAGAAACGGGTGACTGGCCCTGGGCCGCCGGTGTGCATCCAACCTGCCGTTTGCATCGCGTCAAAAGACTCTGGGAGGATGCCAGGGAGAGGTGCCCAAGCGTCCTGGTCAGCGTCAAAGTCAAGCGCAGGAGTCGCCGGCACACCCGAAGGACTCGACGACCTATGAGCCGGAGACGAATGAGACAAAGGCGAAGACGAATGCGTCAAAGGCGGAGAGGCCGGCAGAGCACTGTCCTCGATGGGGTCGGACGAGAGTCCGAGGTCAGTGAACCAGTCGTCGGCGCGCCCGTTATCCCAACTGTTGTTGTTGGTGTTTATCGTAGGTAGTTGGAGATATTGTTGAAGTTGGGCTTGCTCTGGTGATTGTTGGAAGAAAATCGGATTTTGGTTCTGTGCCATGTTGTCGGGAGATGGCTTTGTGTATGTTGTAAGTTTTGTGGCAAATCTGGGTGGGAGATGTTTGACTCGATTCTTTATAACTGAAGTCCTGGCACGGGATGGAGTGTGTGGGAGGGTGCGTTGACTAATTGTGGGCCATGGGGGTGACTCGATTGAACAGCATGGCTGAATGACGTCGGAGTCAAGGTTCTTTGTGCAGGTCTGCGCAGGTCCCTTGCCTACAAGTGGGCGATGCGATTTGATGGGTGACAGGGGACAAAGGATACCCGGCCGTGTCCGCGAAAAACCAAGGGCCCATGGGGGTACCTCGGCTTGTAGACGCACAGTGTACTTTCTATGCCTGGGCGAGACCCTCAATGGAGCGAGGTCCGGCCTTTCTAATTGGCCGGAACAGGCCCGGCCGCCTTGGCTCTTCGTCGCCGAACCTCCTGCAGATGAATGAAAATCGCAACAGGCAGCTGATGCTGCGCGCGAAGACAGTTTGATGCGAGAGCCGACTCGACCGATCTAGCACTTTCCTTCCGTCCTTCTCCACTAGGTAGGTTGGTAACAGCTTTCCTCGTAGCCTATCAACCTACGGTGCCGAATTTTGACATCTGCCATCTGCCATCTTCCAGCTGAATGATTCGATACATGCATCGATACCTACTCATTCGTCACGTAGTCGAGATCTCAGTAAAAAGCGTTCTAGACAACTTGTTATCGGCGGATTTGTCAATATGTGCATCGAGGCCGTCGGAATACGAGACATTCAAATACAGTGCAGAAAAAAGATGCAGCGAAAGCTGAACAAATGCTGACCAGTGCGTGGTCTGGATCAAGATCGATCGATGCTTGGCTGATTTCTTTGCTTGAACTTCAGGGAGGAGTGGGGCTTAAGCCAAGCACGTGCCAAGTTCAAGCAGAGAATCCAGACCAAAGTTGAGAAAACGGATGAATATTCTGTACACCTGGCTTGGCAGAGCTTGGCATCTGGTTTGTAACCAATGAGCTAACCCGCTGATGGGTATGAATGCTCTTTCAGACATTTCAGCGCAACCGTCACAAATCAACAAGTGGTCTTGGGACGAATGAAATGCACGGCTTTCGCACTGCCACTCGGCATTCCTAGCAGCAATCGATTAAAGCCGACCGCGCTTCGGCTGCTGAATCCTTCCCGGTAGCCAGCACAGAACCGCGCTGCGCCATCCGCTACGTACGCAGGTACGGTCGCCATGTATCGTGTATCAGGAACCCAGACGACCCTACCAGTGATGTCCATAGCATATGATTCATCGCCATTCGTTGTAGCGTGATGTTCAAGGCGAGATCCCCAGAGGCCCACCACAGTGGGCGGCCGCCAACAGCCCACTCCGCTTCTCCGCGGCTCAAGAGAAACCCTGGGACCCACTTTCTGGTTCGGCTCAACCCCCGCTACGAGGCTTGCGCGTCACTAGCCACAACTCCGAGGTCCCCTCCGAGAAGCGACGAACCATCCAGCATTATCCAATCTCGCCAGTGTGGCTGTTCACTGAGACTCTTGCTCAACAAAAAGAAGCCAGCTGGAGCATACGTACATACGTACGCTCGTTTGCGGATCTCTTGTTTCCGGCCCACTAACTTGACATCTGTTTACCAATAACCGAGGCATGGTGTGGGTGGTTGATGTGGCGCAACGTCGTATGTAGGTACCAAGGACAGGCGCAAAATGTGGCTTGCAGACCGCACCACCAGCTCAACATGGAGCAGGGAAATCCTGTTTCGACTTCAGCTTCCCAGATTCCGTTTGCGTTCTCGAGATTCCAAATATCTCTTTCTTGGACAATATAGTGCCGAACGCCCATTGGTTAGGTTAGGTGACCATATGTTGCGATGGGATGTTGCTCCGGAGGATGTGGTCTCGAGGTGGTGCTATGTACATTGGTCCCGTGACTAGACATCACATGATCTTGGCAGCTGATGCTGCTCTAAGCGGGTGCGACTTCTTGGGATTAGTTAACTTCCGCCCGTCTCCCCCAAGACTAATCAGAATGATAATGAGCTGACGAGGTAGGTAGCTGCTATTCTACCAGTGTAGTGTCGCCTCCGGATGAGTCAATCGAAGCAACTGGGGGTTGCCCGGACTCGAGCTAGGCTTCCAATTTTCTTTCGTCTTGCGTATGACGACTTCGACAACGACTCGAGTTTCTGCTTGGCGAGTGCGCAATGCCGGTAGTATCGGAGTTGAGGTGGGCGCCGCGGGCCGGTTGCGGCTTGTTGATTCGCTCCGCTCCGCCGGCACCTCCACCCCCAGTCCGCCCGAGAGCGCAGTTGCAGAGGGAGTTAACAAGACGTCTCCGAGTCCCCGAAACCTGGTTTTCGCCGCAGGTCGATGCTGGACTGCGCAATGTTGGTTTCCGCAAATTTTGTGGCTGGTCCTCGGGGATTCGCTGGGTAACGGCCGGGGAATTGTCGCCGGGGTTCCTGGTTGGTTCTCAAGGGATGCAACGCGGGGAACGGCGGGATCGACGCCGACCGGGACCGGGGTTCTCGGAGCCAGCCTTGACTGCGCTTTTCCAACGGCTTCCTCCACATGACTAACAGCCTCGACAACTACATGCTAATACGAAACCGATGAATGAAGACAACGAGGCGGGCGAAGACAACGCAGCCGCCCAACAAGCCCGGCGACTGACCATCTATTCGGCGGGAACTTCGGCTCGGGTAGGTTTGTTACCGCTGCTGCCTTCGCAAAATGCCAATGGACCGATGCACCGTTCGGGTCCCTGCCGTGTCTGGCATTTTTGTCCGGCACGGCTTCCAACCCTATTTTGGCAGTCGGTAACCAATGATAACATCCCCAACAACCGACACTTGAGGTCAAAGGGCTTCGCTGCACTCGCCCGGCTGTATCATTCAGCGCGGCTGGCTCAATCTGATTGCTCGGCCAGCGCCGACTCGTCCCAGGTGTCGCTGCGCAACGTGGTGCATGTGCTCACCCTCTCGTGCGTCTGTTCCTGTGTACATGGCCCGCATCGATAGACAGTGATGCGGCCGACACTGGAGATCTGGCGCACCGGGCTCCACGTGTCGCATGCGTTCAGCCGGTCCAACAACGCTTCGGCGACTCTCGACCACCAGTCCCACCACTTGGAAACATGTCCTCAGCTCCTAAAGGGCTCAAGACGGGGCAGGGTGTTCTGGAAGCAGCCTGTTGTGCATCGCCGATTCGAAATCCTGGCTTGCAGAGCCCAGATCGCCCTAACTCATCGAACTCATGCAGCAAGCAAAAACACCAATCATGGTCTGGTGTCGCACCAAGACCTGGCTGTGCCACGCATCTGCCAGATGAGGCCTCGGTCCCCACTCTGCCGATCCAGAGCTGACCAATGGCGCATGTCGGCCTCCCCCTAATTTGACAAGTGGGAGGTGCAGATCTTTTTTTTTTCCCTTGTGGCTTGTCTACTGTCGGCGCCCCCGGGTGGTCACAAGCGGTGGTGTCCCAGACTCCTGGACCGGCGACCGTTGACTTTTTCGTGTGCCCACTGCGGGGAATCAGGCGATGACCTTCAGGTTGGCAGGGTCTAGCTCCGCTGATCTTTGCGATTCCAAGGACCCAGGAGCTTTGCCTTGAAACATGATGTTTTCGAGCTTGGAGCTCGGGGGCATCGGGGGTGGGCCCGCGAGCAGCGATTCGGCGGAGAGCTTCAACAGGCCGATCGATTCGCAAGACAAACCATCCATCGTTTTTACCCACAAGCTTGGGGTGATGATGGACTGCCTCAATCGTCAAGAGGATGATGCCCTGCCGACCACGGCCTTGGCCCCTGCCCGCCGTTTGTCGAGTTCGCTGTTTCGCGGTTTCGCTCGAATCTCGGCATGCTTCACGCAGAACACAACCAGGCCGCCTTCGCAGGATTGAATGCACGTTGGCACGCTGGGTAGAAATAGGGGTGCACCCAAGAGAGGTTAACAAATAGCGAGACCGACGACAAAATCTTCCCTGCTGCATGTGGCAGCCACACCGCCGAGAAGAAAAATTTTCCCCGTACCACGTTGCCGCCAACGACAATAGGAGCGAAAAAGCAGGAGAAAAGATTCTTCCATGGTTGCATGAAGAATGCCATCCTTCCCGACGGTGTGGGTGGGAGGGAGCAAGGGCCGGAAATGTCTGTTTCCTGGTGTCGCATCGCATCGAGCTAATGCAGGACATGCTGCTGTCCAGGCTAAAAATGGGAGCACCAGCCCCGCTAGCCCCGGAAGGGGTATGAAATACGGCATTCGGAAAGAGGTGCACAGGCCCTTCTCGCGATTTCGGTGGGCCTTCGGAAGACGCCGATGCAAGTTAACAGGGCCTCGAAAGCCGTCGGACGGAATCGGTCTCGACTCCGTCCATTTTTCATTCGTCTCACAGCAACAACTCCAACTCCAACTCTAACGCCCGACCAAACGGCCGAACGCTTCCTTTTTTTGTGACAGATGTGGTATCACCCCCCACCTCAGAAAAAAAAAGAAAAACTATGGGCTAGCTTTTTTTTGGCTTTTCCGGTGCCGGCAGTGTGTCGATGCACACACCACGGCAGAGTTTTCTAGACGGTCTAAAGTCGCACATCTCTCGTCATTTCAATTACGAGACAACACCGAACTCGTTCACAGTGTTTGGTAACGTAACATGCTCGATCACTGATCACTATTCGTACCCTCTTGCAATTCTATCGGGCCGGATATACGTTACCACTACATAAAAAGTATGAGTCTTGCGCTAAACGATACCGAAGCAGGTATTTCAATCGAGACACCGACCAAGTTTGATCAATTGATTACGAACGATTGGAAAGCGACGTCGTTTTCAGCCGGCGTTACGGTACGTCCGGGACTTACACGCGCCCTTTTGCGAGATTTCAATTACTCAGCGAGACGATGAAAAAGCGCCTTTCGCTACACAATTCGCTTTACAAATACTCGTTCGTATACGAGTAGAACTCTATTTTAGTGCGTGTCTGCAGGTACTTTTTGCTAGAAAGGTAGCTCGCGTAATCTTGATGTTTTCCATCTCACCGAGCACTTTTTACTGCGGCAGGTGGAGAGCGGCGAGACCCCCCGAACCGCCTGAATGGACTGTGCTTCGCAGATCTGGGCTCACGAACCCACCAGCATCCCGTCGAATCAAACGGCCCGGCCAAAACCCCAGCTGGACCCATTCCCCGGCCCAACCCGCACGGCATGGAGGGGGAGGGAACACTGCTGCAGCGGGGCAGTGGCACAAGCAAGAGCTTTCACCCCCCTCCCTTTTTCAGCTCGCGCTCGCATGGCACCCCGGCCAGAACCGGCAGCATGGAACTGGAGGAGGACAAAAAAGCAAGAGGGAGGTGAAAAACGCACGTCAGCGGCGCAGGAAACATCACGCCATGAATTGCTGCCGTCCGTCCGGTTCCAGGCCCGAACGTCCAATTTCTCATGTGCCGAGACATAGTTTCAGAAATAAAATCAAAAAAATCCAGGAACTGCACACACCTCCCTCATCTGCAGCGGCCGCCGGTGCCGGCGCCGGCGCCGGCCGATTTGATTGGGGCCTACACAAACAAAAAAATATGACAATCAGGCGCCGGTAAATCTCAGCTGAGACCTTCCCAACTCTCCGGATGTGTGGTGGGAGAGGTACGGAAAAGGGGGCTAGAACACGGCCGGGTGGCCGGCGAGGCGGGCCTAGAATCTCCACATGGCCGGTCTGTTGGCCGACATGCGCGGGTGCAACGCCAGGAGGGTCGCTCCACGACATGTACCTTTTTTTTTGCGTGGGATGGCCCACAAGGCAAGGAAGGGCTAGACCAAGGAGGCCGGTCTACGAGGCCGTTAGATTTCCGTATCTGTTGCAATAGAATGTAGATCTTAGATAGGAAAGCAATACCATGGGAGTGGTAGGAACGAGGAAGGGAAAATCACGCATCGATCACCGCATCAAACAGGATCAACGGCTAAAAACAATTTTCACTTTTTCATCTCCGATCCTTCACCAACCCGACCTCGGTTTCCAAGGCCTGAGACAGAGAGAGGACAGACTCGTACGCTGAAGTCACCGAACCACAAACCCACTAGCACTCAAAACACAACTCCTCAAACTATGCCCCCTACCGCCTTCCGCTATGAGAAAACCCCATCCAATTTTTTTGATCTCCTCGCTCAAAAAAGAATGCTCGGGAAAAAAAACACCAACACCACTTTTCAACGTGCAAGATAGGTAACTCCCCGGTAGCCATCGCGTCGTGTAAAAACGAAAGAAACTGGTATATTCAACCAACCCCACGGTGTCCAACAGAGCAACGCGATCGACAACCCCCTTTCCCCTTCTTATCTTCCTCTTGTTGTTCAAACCAACACCACTTGGTCTTCTTAGCATTCCCATGAGCCTGGTATCAGGCCGGCCGGCCAAACCCGGCCGGCCCATCAATCGCCCTCAGATAATGATGAGCTAGAACACCCAGTATGTTAGCCAAAGCCCGTTCGATCGCCTAGAACAAAACCCAGCACAGCAACACCACACTCCACCCACTCCACCCCCCTCACTCAAAGTGAGAAACGGGAGTAATCACCCCCGCAATCACCCCCCTTTTCCCAACACCCAAAAACAAGAAACTCACCTCAATCAACTTTTCCGTCAATCCAAAACACGTTCGATCTTGCTGTTCCTGTGCCAGATTGAACGAGCAGCTGCGCCAGAGGCCGGCAAAGCCGAGGTCGTCGAGGGTGTCATTGAGCGCCGCGGCCGACGCGTCGAGCGACGAGGCCGAAAACCGGGGGTTGGACGTCAGCGTCTGCAGTAGCGCGTGTGCCGACTCGAGCGTCGCTGACGACTGGCAGTGCAGCAGGATGTCGTCGAGGAGGGAGATGATGGGGGCACATCTGTCAAGGAGGGAGGGTGGTGGTTAGTTTAAGCTTTCTCCGATTTTCTTTTTCTGGAGTGGAATAGAGTAGGATGGGACAGAATGAGATAGAATGGGATGAACTAGTAATAAGATGGGATGGGATGAGATAGGACGAGGTAGAAGAGAGTGGGTAGAATAGGATGGGATAGGATAGGATGAACTAATAATGAGATGGGACGGAATAAAACAAAATAGACATACAGATGCATCGCAACGGCCGGCCGGCCCTGCGCAATACGGTTGAGCCACTGCAAACTACGATTCTGCACCGCGTCCTCGAGGTACTGGAAGTCGACGAGCTCGATGGCCGTGTTGAGTAGTAGGTCTTTGTCCTTCAGCCGCGCCAGATCCTGTTCGGCACGCAGCACTGCCGGGTCCGACACGCCCGAGAGGCTGACGTTGATGCCCGCCGCCCAGAGGTGCTCGCGCAGCTCGTCGACCGAGGCGGCCCGCGCCAGGATGAGTATCATGTACGGCGACGCGGCGAGGTCGTGGATGTCGCGTTCGCCTCGGCTGGTTGAGGCGCTGCCGGGGTTGGTCTTCATGGGAATGGTCATTTCCAGGAATGAGGACAGGACCCGCAGCGCGGTGGTCTTGGTGACGCTGTCCGTCAACCCCCTCACTAGACACGCGCACGCGGCGTAGTGGAAGTTCTCGCTGTTGAAGTGGATCCCGTAGGCGTCATCCAGCGGCAGGGCAGCATCCTCGAGCTGGTTCCGGCCTTGGAGTAGGTAGGGCACCACCTTGTCGCCGCCACCGCGCATGTCGCCGGTCGTGCTGATGTTCGTGAGCACTGCTTCGAGGAACATGGCGGTGCAGTTGAACAGGTTAGACGGTACCAGCCGCAGCAGCGAGATGGCCAACCAGAAGAGCTGCAAGCCGTAGCGGGAGGCCGACGGCAGCTTGGCCATCATCTTGGATAAGGAGGTGACGATAGCGACGAGCATATCGCTATTGCTGTCCTCAGCGAAGCGGCCCACACTGTTGCGCAGCGCAACAAGAACCTGGTAAAGCAGGTCGTCATCAACCTCCTCACGTGCGAGGCAGCCCATTACAGTAAAGGCCCGGGGCTGGATGGCGGGGTTGTTCTGGAAGGCGGTGCTCGCGACCAGGCTCATCCACCTCGAGCGCCAGGCATTCGCCATATCGACGGATGGCGCTGCAACGGCGCATGTTTCAAAAAGAATCGTAGCCAGGTTCTCCGTCGCGGCCAGCGTCGGACCGGCCTCCTGATTCGTCGAGATGGACGCACCATCGCGCATGAAGGTGACCGTGTTGACAAAAATGTCGCCTTTCGGGTCCGACAGCGTCTCGAGCGTTGCCCTCAACTTGGTCAGTCTGTCCTCGTCGAGGGAAAAGGAGGTGCACGCCGAGTGAATCGAGTTAATCAGCAGCCGGTGGACAGCCACCCTGACATCCGGCATGCCCGTGTTCGCAAGCATCGTGACGACGTGGAAGATCTCCGGCAGGTACATTTGTGCCTGAATGCCGCTATCGAACGACAGCGCCAGACAGAACTGCAGCAGCACGCAGATCTCGTCCCAGACCGCATTGTCGGGCAGGGCCTTGGTCGCCCGGAGCGACGACCGATTAAGTGCTTTCCGCAGGCGCGAGATGACCTTTCCTCTCAGGGTAATCGTACCGATGGCGTTGGTGATCGAAGTCAACGTTTCAGTCTGGTCGTCCTCGAACCCATGGTTGAGAGCCGTCTTGATGATCTCGTCAAGGAAGATATCCAACAACACCTCATCCTGGTAAATGACCGGCCAAACCGACTGTTCCAGCGCGAATGTCAGCGTCAGGTCTGACAGGGCGACATCGATCAGCTTCCTAAACAACGCGGCGATCTTCTCTCTCGCCTTGTCGCTCTCAACCTCGCCCGCTAGCAATGACGTCCGTAGCCCAGGGATCCAGGGCGCCATGTACGCCAAGCTCAGGGGCTTTTGCTCGTCCAAGAAGCTATCCCACCCGACGAAGAACTCATTGAGAAAATCCGCCGTCAGCTGTGGTTCGGTCTGCGCCAGGCTCTTGCTGATCTTGATTATGAACCGCGACGGGTCCATCGGCACCGAGATTTCCCTCGTACTCAAAAGCTTGGACGCGGCCGAGAACTTGAACGCCTTGCACAGCGCACTGAGCAGGTTATACGACGACAACCTCAAGACGGCGTCAGGGGTGGCAAGGTTAGTCAGAGCCAGGTTCAGCAGCGTCCCTGGTACGTCCTGCGGTCGGATAAGCCGCTCAAACGACTTTGTCGCCCTAGTGTCCTTAGCATATTTGGTTTTTGCGGCACGGATGGCCTGCAGGACTTCGCCCTTCAAAGCGCTCGTGAAGTACATGACAATTCTGCCGTTGTCGGCTCTGAGGCCGAATGCTGAGTCACCCTCTGTCTGGATCGAGGTGGGCGCTTCGTCGACCTCGCCGAGCCGGAAGATGTCGTTGACCGTCGTGCTCATGCGCAGGCCAGGTACCTCCTGCTTCTTGGTCGTGGTGACCTGCACAAACTGATTGCCGACTTTGATGATGACATCGACCTTGCCCTTGGACTTCGATAGCCGGGTGATGGGGTGGAACACATAGCGCGTGTCCGTCACCACGCTGATGGTCTCCTTAGGAAGATGCAGCTGGCTGAGATGGAAGTGCGACTGCAGGTCTTGCAGGCTCCCCATGAGATTGTACTGCACATTCGCCGGGCTAAACACGCTGGTCTCGGATTTGGAGGCAACCCGGAGGATCCGCCTGAGGCACTTCTTCGACGCGCTATTCATGTTGTAGACGTATATGCGCGTCAGTTGCCGGGACAATTCCCGTGGTGTGAGCAGTTCTAGCTTGTGGAATAACTCGTCCTTGGGTTCGTTTTGCCCGCTGTAATACGTCGAGTCGATGAGGAGACCAAAGGGCCGATGCCACAGCCGGCTGGCAATCTTGAGGTAGCAGTAAATCAAAGTGTCATAGTCGATAGACTCGGCGTCGATGTTGCGCAAAATAATGCAGATTATGGATAGCCCGTCCTTGCTCTCGCCGCCGTCGTAAACGGCGCGGGCTGTGAGGAACGACTCAGCGCTCCGGAAGGCGTTGCGGAGCATGAAGTCCTGGAATCTCGAATAAGACGGCGGGCTGTTCCCGGAGATTTGTGGTCGGTTCCACGTCACGGCTAGAGGCGGTGGGCCCAGGTTCATGATGAGGTTCCTCAGCGGTTCAATCACGGGCGTCCGGCTCCTTGTCGACTCGGCCGGCGACCGCACGAACTCTCTCTTCTCCTTGGAGGCTAACCGCTGGCGCACGTGGTCCCAGTGCTCGTATAAAAACCTGTGGAGGGCCACGCAAGAGCCAAATTCGAACGATTCTCCCCTACCGATCGTGTCCACGGCAGTTGGCGGAACCTGCACCAGTGTCAGCCAGGCATCTCCTCGGCGAACAATTTCTATCTAGAAAGACTCACCGAGATCTCTCGCAAGAAGGTCGTGACTTTGTAGATATTGTTAGTCAGGAAATCAATCAGCGGAAACATGTACGGCTCCTTAGCGCCAAAGAGAACGTTATTTGCCAGGTTTTGGATGACTTTGGCGATAAGTAGCAGCCCACGGCGCATTTCCTTCGAAGGCGGAGTTGCCACCAAGCCCTCGGCCTCGGGAGCAACAATCGCCGGGCAGAAGAAGCGTAGGAAGATAAAGGCCCCCACGGCGGTGTACTTGGCATCGGGGAATCTTTCCACGACCGCTTCCGAGATCTGCGTGCGGTTAGCATGTATCTCTAACCGAAACTGAGCTATGACATACGATATTGCAAATCTGGCGAAACGAGGCCGGCATGCTTGACGTCGAGCCGCAGATATTGTCGATGAACACCCGTGCCACTATCTGAAGATTGTTCGCGTTGGTTTGCAGCTCCTCTGGAGAGCTGACCCTGGCCGGGTCAAGTTCCAGACTGAGGTCCTTGGACGTCATCATGAGCCGCTCAACGACATTCTGCAGCGTGTCCTTAAGGTAGTCGACACCTTTCCACTTGGCGTAGATGGTCAACATTTTGGTGGCCACGCATGTTCGGCGCAGGAGCTCAGACTCGTTATCTACCGCCCCGTCAGTTCAAAACGTTGTGAGGGGACTACAGCTGACGAGGATTTACCCACCTGTTTCCTCGATCTCCTGCTTAATCAGGGCCTCGAGGAGCACGTAACATGATCCTCTCGACTCATAAATATTCAATAGGGAGATGGTGAGCTCATCCACCTCATGACTGGGGCAGACGGCGCTCATGGCTGCAGCCAAGCTCGGGTCACTCGCAAGAAGCTGCTCACCCGGTTAGCCATTCCGCTTGACCGCCAACAAGGGAGAGTAAAAGAAATCAAAACGAACCTCCAACAGCTTATCATACTTCTCATTCACGGCAGCATCGCTCAGGTTGTTGAACTCAGTCCCTTGAATAAGGATATTATACAGAACCCTGACGAACGCGGTCCGGATATCCGGGTTCTCGTGGTATCCTATGCTCAGCGAATGCTTGAGGCCGACATCAATATTGGCGCTGAGGAGATTGGACAGGATCGTGATGGCGAGGTCCGACATCGATGCCTCGGACGTAGCTCCGGGTCCGCTGCCACTAGAACCAAGATAATAATTACCATGGTAGCCATGAGGATCACCCACGCGACCCAAGTCCGGCCCATTCGAATCTATATTAAGGAGCGATAGGAAGCGGTTGAAGTACTGATGGAACATCTGCGACTTGAGCTCGCTGGTGCCGACATCGGTCTGCCCGTCGCCCGGCTGGAGTGGCAGCCTGAAGGTAAGTGTGGAAAGGGAGCGGAGACAGGCTTTGTCAAGATCGCGCTGGACGCGGAGCATCTCGTCCTGGCGGCCGCCCGCAGTAGGCGCGGAATCGCGGGGAGAGCGCGGCCGAGCGATCCAACGAAAGATGTACTCGAGCAGCTGGTTGCGGATACGCACATCATCGCGCAAGTTAAGCTGTTCCTTACGTTTTGTCACCGCTTCGACGAGCTGGCAAATCTTGATCTTCACGCGGAGGCTGTTGGGTGTCTCGGCGACGCCGTCAAGGCTTTTGGCAAAATTGAGACAGAGGCCGCCGAGGTGGAGAGTCGATGCGGCGCCGAGATCCGATGGCGTGTCGAGTCGCTCAACGAGGACCTTCAGGAGCGAAGAGGACTGCTCCGCAAAGATGATGTCGTTATCCTGACCTTTGATACTCGGCTCAAGAGCACCGGCGAAGAGCACATCGAGTTCCGTCTCAAGCGCCTTGAACAGGGGTTGGAACAGGGACGGTGGTACTTCGGAGGAGAGGACCTCCCTCATAGTCTCGCGGACGCGGACGTTAGCGCACGCCAGCAGCTGAATGCTTAGCCTAAGGTAGCGCGTCAGGAGCGGTTCTTCGTGGTTTCCGGACGACAGACGGTCGATCCATTTCAGCCCGCTGATAGCAGGCTCCTCAAGGTTGGTGGCCTGCTCGGCGGTACAGATGCCTCCCAACGAGGCGAGAAAGCCCGAATAGTTCCGCCACTCAGCCACCATCCTTTCTGTGACGGCTTGGCCGGCGCCCGCTTGTGAAATCTCCATGGAAAGATGGAGCCACTTGTCAAAGACAAACTCCCAGGCGTCGAGAATACCGGCGCTGGGGTACTGCATGCGTCTTAAGAGGGCCCTAACCCTCTTCTGAAATGCCACGATCCCGGTGAACCTGAAGTCACGAGATGAGATCTCGCCAAAGATTTCGCCATTGCGAAGGAGAGTCAAGGATGATTTTGCCGTTGCCGGAGCAGTGTCAATGAGGCGGCATTCGTCGAGGAAGGTGCTGATGCAGGAAATGACGGTTTGGCAAGCTTCCATATCCGCTGAGCAGAGCGAGACTAGGAATAGCCTCTCTAGCTTGCTTGATGCAGCAGTTCGCTCGGGTATGTCGTCTGAAGTGTGGCCCAGTTCCTGCTCGGGGGTTAGCAAATCTGCCACATGAGCTTGAAGGGAGTAATGATGTACCGGGATCGATGTCAAGAGAAGCAGTCTTGACCCAAGATACCCGTTGATAGATCTGAGCGTCTCAGCCGTGCAGGGTAACCTAGCCTTGTCACAGATGGAGATGAGAATGAGCGACCTGCTCGTTGTTAGCCCATACCATCGATTTCCATGAATCAAAAAAGCACATACGTCAACCTCCAAAACTTCGTTTTAAACGCTTTTGACCCCAGCCCCTCAGAAGACCTCAAGTTCGCAAGGACCCTTTCCTTCGCAAACAACCTTTTGGCAACGCCCGTCGCCAGCCGCCTGACGGATTCATCAGCGGCGATGATACACGATATGAGTGCGCCCAGATTCTCTTCGTAGAACTGATCTCGCTCCTCCTCGTCCGCGGGCGGGCCCTCGAAGAGGGTCATTGGCGAGGCATCGAGGAAGCTCAAGATATTGCACACCATGCTGATTGACGGGGGGCTCTCCACAGCGTTGCGCTGGGCGCTGTGGTCTTCGATGTATCCGTCGGCAAGGAGGACGGCCATGGCCTTAGGAGGGAAAGTCAGCAGGCCGGAGGACAGAGGTGTACTTGCTGAAGGGGGAAGACTTACCTGCAATTTCCCCTGAATGAAAGCACTTACGGTGCTAAACAGGGGCTGATATTTCTGGTTGTTCTCCAAGCGCGCAAAGTGGGCACACGCCTGGACAACGGCAATCTTGAAGCTGTGCGGCGCCGAAGACGAGAGACAGGACACTGCGAGAGACTCGACCGAGTGTTCAAAATTGAGATGCAGCAGCGACACAAACGCGGCGGTCATGATGTCCTGCTCGTACAACACAGCCTCTGCGCCGGGCGTGAACCGCCGGAAAACGGCGTCCCGAACCTCGTCCTGTACATCCATGGCGTAGCTCATCAGTGCCGAGTCGCTCTCGGCATCAAAATGCCGCGCGGCCCTGAGCAGCAGCACGAGACAAAAGGCGGCTTGCTCGTTCCGGTTTCTGAGGGCCTTTCTGAGTCCATCAAGGAATTGTACTTTCTTAGCAATACTAGCCCCCTTGGATTCGCGCATGTTGCTGGCCACCTCAAAGACATCCGGCTGGAGGAACAGCAGTGTCATCTGCATCGGAAACATGCCCTTGCGGCGTCCGTTATCGCCAATTGTCAAGGTCATGTCGAACAGAGTATCGGGGGCGTTATCGCGGCGCTTCGGACTGGTCATGGAGTGCAATTGGACAAATTCGGCTGGGTACCTGTCCAACCAGCGGGTGATGATCTGCGGCATGACGACGGCGATGGTGTTCTGGAAGGACTTTCGGTAGTGCAGGAAGCTGGAGCAGAGCTCTTGCACGACGAGACTCAGCTTCTGACTGTCAGCCCAAAAAAACGAGACGAGGCGTAGCATGACAAGCGCGGCACGCTCATCATCGGCAGCGGTAGAGCTCGGAGCTACGGCGGCCCCCTGATTGGGTATGTTACGCGCCGCGTACATGACATTGCGGAAGAACTCGAAGCCGGCGGTCCATGTTGACGCCGTTACGTACTCAACGATGAGCTTGACGTTGGCTTTCGACGGCGCCCGCATGTGCTGCTAGGAGGTTTCGTGTGTCCGGTGCCTCGCTAGACGAGGCCGAGAGCGGTGTTCGCGTGGGCTCTTCAAGGCCGGAGGGATTATGTGCTTGGCGGACGAATCGTCAAGTATCCGCCTTGGGTGGATCGAGTAGTTATCTGGATAGGCTCAAACAACACCTTGGTGACCTCGAACATGCGGCCGAGCTGTATGTCGCTGAGTGGTTCCGGAGGAGGGAAGGTGGCTCGCTGCGAAGGCGAGAGTGAGCCATCGGGATTGGGGGCAGGGCCCGGTCTGTCGCCAGGACCCTTCTTACGATACCAATTGCTGGCACAGCAGTCCGCGATGAGCTCGACGACATAGAGTTCCGAGAGGAGCACATGGGGTGGGTGGGCATGTACGGTCTTGTAAGGACGGTTGAGTTCCTCGAGGAGAGTCAGGAGAGCATCGAGGATAAGGCTGATGGATGAGGCGCTGATCTTAACCAGCGAGGCGCGGGTGATGGAGACGATGTCATCCTGGGATAGGTCTTGTGTTGGCGTGCCGGTGCGGTGGGGGAGCTGTTGTCGACACCATCAGCATTGATCGATACATTTTACCATCGCCACTTCCGTCATGATAGGCAGCGGGGCAGCACTATAGAGCGCTTCAAGGTGCGAAAGAAGAGAGAGCACACACTCTCGTGGTCAACCTATCCACTAGGCAGCCCACCAGGCCCGCGTCGCCGTTCATTGTGCGTTGACGGAAGCAGGACTGGGCCGGCGCCTTCCCATGATTTGGACTTTAATTATTTTTTGATTTATTGTTTTATTTACCGATCACGGCGTCGGGGCCGCACGGCGGGCCGTTGCCAGAGCAGAGACGGGGATAGATATGCCGATAGCTAGACGAGAGGTAATAGGTAGACGTGGTGTTCGCGCGCAGCTCGAAGCGGTAGCGGCGCAGTCCTGCGGCAGCCGTCGGCGAGGCGGCGGGATGGAAGCGTTTGGGATCGGGGAGTTTGGCCACAGGATGTCTGGGGACGAGACGAAATTAAAATCGGGAAACGGACAACGGAGGTTTTTGCTTAGGTTCCTCAACGGGGGCGCACTTGCCGGATTGCGGTTGCGGCAGGCGGGGGAGAGACAGCGCCAAACCGGAGCGGGGACCCCTGCTATCGTCGCAGAGCTCTGGTGGGCCCCGATCGAGGCCTCGCCAGTGAACCCAGTCCAAATTCGGGATGGGGCTCGGCAGGAAGGCAGCTCGACACCGCACACCGCCCGCGCATCCCTCGGCCCCTAACGTTAGTGAAGGGTTCCTGCATCCGCGTCTGATATTAGCACCGTCCTAGGCTCTGTGGGGTTGTGGAGGCGTAATCTTAAACATCGTGTTCATTCAACTTCCATCATCACTTTATTAGTTATTGTCGAGAAGAGAAGGACGACTATCTAACTTGGGAAACAAATATTTTGGCTCTACAAAATACTTTTCATATATTGGAGCAATAGGATACATGGGATGAGCCAAAAGGATTGCATACGCAGGGTCCAATTGAATGGCCTTCCATATGTGATGCAACCTTCCGTGATCGCTGTGGTGCCATTCAAATGGATGCAGCTTGTTCATCACTGTCATAAGGGGCCACTAGAGCAATGTGATGGGTTTGACCCGAAGCGAATGGTTGACAAAAACATAAGCAATTGTGAGAGGTTCCTCCGTTGTCCCTATCCATGTAATCCAGCATTGAGCAAACATGAGCCTATATAGTATGATAATACCACCCTTCGCAAGTCGTTTCTCTTACAGCCGCTCCCACAATATCATCAATGCCTGTATCCCCGTGAATCGCGATAATTCCTGTTATCGCCGTCGTACCTGTTGTCGTGACGCCGATCTTGGCTCTGGCCGTGAGGCGGGTGATACTGTCCCTGATAGCCTCCTTGGTGGCCGCCTCCCTGATAGCCGCCCCCCGGATAACCACCTCCCTGGTAGCCTCCGTGTGGCGGCGGCCCCGGTGGGTAGCGGTCGTTCCGGTAGTTCTGGCCGCCGTATCCCTGGTTGCCATACCCTTGGTTGTACCCACCACCAGAAGCATGGGCGGGAGGCGGCGGAGGCGGCACGCCAACACCGAACCCAGGATAACCGGGCGGCGGGGGTGGCTGCCAGGATTGCTGGCCAGGCGCAGCGGGCTGCTGGTAGCCACCATACCCGTTGCCATATCCACCGCCACCACCACCACCACCACTACCACCACCGCCGCCGTAGCCATTTCCGTAGCCGCGGTCTTGTTGATAACCTCCGCGACCACGTCCACCTCCACCTCCGCCACGGGGAGGCCCGCCGGCATAATTGATCCTGTCTCCTCGCCCACCGCCGTTGTAATTATTCCTCAATGGCACGCCACCAAAGCTTCTGCCGGCCCCGCGCCCCTTACTCCTAACAAAGTCGACATCACTCCTGTCAAGTGCAGGTGTCGGCATTTTCAAGCCACGAAGAAGCATCGATTTGTGAATGTGAGAGCTGGTCGGCATATCGTAGTTCACGCTGTTGATGTATTAGTAACATGATTTTCGGAATGGAGTGTTGCGGTTAAAGGAAGAGAGTGGGGGGTTGGCATACCTCATCGACCGGTCGTAGTCTACGTCTGGCATGGTATTGCGCTCGAGCGGGTACACGAGCGAGCCATGCGGGACGTAGCCCTCGATCTTCCGGACCTTGCCGGAGAGACCGTCGCTCCGCTTGGGGTCCAGTTTAAACTCAGGGACTGCCTGCTTCTTGGAGTAGAAGTGGGATGAGATATCCTCATAGAGGCCCGGATGCGAATCCGAGATGAGCAGAACGTCATGGCCCGGCGCGTTTCGCGCTTTGTCCTCGGCGCTGAGAAGATGCGACTTGGTCTTCATCGCATCTAGGAGACGGGGCATCTCAATGAAGGGGAGGAGAGCAATGCCCTGCCACGACATTTTCTTGCCGTTCAAATCAATTTCAAAGTCCTCCGGGTAAAAATCGAGGATTGGGCTGTCCTCCTGGGTCATCAGATCATGAAACACCTCCGGAATGGCATGGCGGGAGGCCGCCGGAAGGACGCTCATGAGCTGCTCGAAAGGCCGTGATATCCTGCCCTTCTCGAAGCTGATCTTCATCTTGCCGAGATCGACAAAATCTGCAGCAAAGGGAGCGTAGTGGTATGGGTAGAACCACTCCCACGAGGGACAACCCTGGAAGTAGTACATCAACACCCAGGCAAGACCCTCGACGTATGCTCGGGCAACCTTGTGCCGGAAGGCGATGTCTTTGGCATCTACTTTGAACTTTTGCTCGTAATACCGGTCGGCGTAACCCTCTTCCCAGAGCCTGACCGTATCGATTGGGCCTTCCTCGCTCGAGGTGGTAGCCGGGGTTTCGGTATCTGAAGCAGCATCTGAAGCAGTGGCGGTACCTTCCTCGATGAGCTCCGCCTTACGTTTCCCGAGGGCGGAAGGTGGGGTTTTAGCTTCTGGGTTTTCCTCCTTAGGTTCGTCGCCCTCGGGCTTTTCCTGAGTCTGGGCCACAAGACTCTGGATCTGGCTCTTGAGCACGCTGGCAGCGCTCTTGTTGGCCACGTTGGCCCGGTTCACCACCATGTCGTGAGTGATGACGGGTTTGGGAATGCTCGCGACCGGAAAGAGGTTCATCCCCACCGGCGGCCCGTTTGCCTCTGGCGCTCCTTTTCGCCCTCCTCTGCCACTGAGCGGCGAGTCGTGGGCGCCGCCTCTGTTATTACCTTGTTGGTTGTTGAGCTTGCGTCTCTTGAAGCCCGCCTCCCTCCGGTCCTCCGTTTCTTTCCGCCTTCGGAAGATGGAGTCTTCCTGCTTAGCGAGGCCGCTGAGGATGTACTGCGCGCGATCGAGGTCCACATGTCCGTCCTTGGTCACGTATCCACCCATCACGGGCAGATTATCTTTCCAGATGGCCATGAGGGTTTCAATACCGTTCTCTCTGATCTCGAGGGCGGGCAAATGAGGCAGGAAATCATTTCCGACAAAGAAGCACATGAAGACCCAATCGTCGATAGCGCGCTCGAGATCCCAGCGAAAGGGGAGATTAGGAATGTTCAGCTCAATGGCAAGGTACTCACGCAAGATCGAGACATGAAGCCAAATGAACGGTTTCAGGGGCTCGGCCTTGTCCTTCTCGTCAAACTCGCCGGCTTTCTCCTTTGCCTCACCTCTGCAATTCCTCTCGTCGTGACCTTTCTGACCGCAGAGTTTGCACATCCTTGCTTTGCCCTGCTGGAAGAACACATCTTCACGAAGGACACGGAAATGCGGCTCGTGGGTGGCAAGTCCCAACATGATAAGATCAGCGTCCAACCCGTAGATGACATGGCGGGTGTTGGGGTCATGCTCGGGCGAGTTGCGCTGCGAGCGGACAAATTCCATGATCTTGTGCTCACCCTCGCCGGGAACAGTGGCATCGGAGATGATGACCTTCATCTTGGCCCACGCGGGATCCGTGTTGAGCTTGTAAGCACACCAATACCGTAGGCTTGCGGCCAAAATATCCATGAATGGGGTGCCCGGCGTGATGGAGTTGGAGTCAAACGCCTTTTTGACAACGGTTTCAATGGGTTCTTCCTTGGCAGTACTGCCCTTCTCTTTCTGGAGCATCTTGAGGAGTTGTTGCTTGTCCTCCTCCTTTTCTTTGGCATCCTGAGCGGCGCGGAATCGGCGGGACCGTTGCTGGTTCATTTTGGCTCGCGGTGCAACACCATCTGCTACGTGTTAGGGTCGGTTTACTCCAAAAGTAATGGCAAACTGGGGCGAGAACTTACCAACAGCAATCATAAGCAGCTTACGCGGGCGAACCATGTTGACGACGCGCTCGGTGTACTTGAAAACCTCGACCATCATCTCTTCCTCGTCGCTAGGCGCCGGTCGGTCCTCGGGATGCGAGCACGGATGTACAATGCCGTTCATGTCGAGGTAGAGGTTATCGAACTCCTCCCCATTAGGGTTGGGTTGTGTCGCATCAACCGGGACGACGGTGCCATCTTCCATAACAAGGGCCTTCTCCTCGACAACGGGAGAGATGATCTTGGGATATTTGGTGGAGAGCCACCTGAAAGCAGCTGGAATACCCATGGTGAGAGATCAGTAAAACTGTCAGCAGGTAGACGTCGCCGTATCGGTCGGAATCGGTTCGTGGTCACGACTAGCCGGGGCTGGCTTTCGCAAGACGCCGCGCTCGATGTAGGGAGTTGATGGGAACTGTCGCTTGTTCGGCGCACATGGGGCAGCCCGGTGCGAAAGCGGCCGGTGAGACGAAGCAATCGAGATGGTTTGAGGCAGGCGTCGTCGGCTTCGAAACGGATGCGAATCGAATCTACAGCATACAACCGTGCGAAACAAAGACCGATCAAGGCAACTTGGTCTGACAAGTGCAGTCAATATTGGGGAAAACGCTGTCCCCTTTGAACCCAGCTTCCGAGACTGGCCGGGTACGGTCGATTGTTTTAAAAAGGGAAAAGCGTGATGCGCGACAAAGACTTCGCGTTCATGGTTCAAGAGAACGTGCTCAGAGCCGGTCCAGGAAAATCCTCCCATTTTTGGTCGCATGTAACTTAAAAAGTGGGTCAATTGCATTTGGAGAAAAATACGGTAACGCATGACGGCCTTGGCACCTCGATTGTTCAGGGTTGGAAAGTTGGTCCCACATTATTTTACGGAGTCGGTCATCGTGTTCCGATTCCATTCCCAATCATCCCAAGCTCCAACCGGAGACAAGCGAGCAGGTTGCGTACTTTATGTACACCTGTCCACTCTTCTGGGCCTTGGCCTCCAGCGTGGAACTCCCAAGGTAGATGCAAAGCGAATCCTGGGATATTTGGTCTTAACAAGACGAGATCGAACCCCCCACTCTTCAATCGAGACCCCCCCGCCGCCAACCCAACGAATTCGACAACGGAAACTGTCCCTGGCCAAGACAGATTCAACCGAACTACGAATGCTCTCGAGTTGATATCGCAGGATAACTACTATACCTGAACGAATGCCCCTCCATGGCATCTAATACCGACGCACGGCTCCTCGCTTGCCCATTCCAACCACCATGTCCATGTTCTCAACCATCACCACCGCCCCGGCTAAGCAGTCGGTGAGCGAGACTATTCCAGTGCTGAGTGGCCGCCTAAGCACAGCAACACTACTCGAAGACCGCCGCGCCGCCATACTGGGGCTGCGTAGTTTTGCGAAACAGTACCCCGCTTCGGTTGCATCGGGCGCCCTGCGCAGTCTCATCGGTAGCCTCAGTCGCGATGGGGAGGATGTTGACACGGTCAAGGTGGCCTTGGAGACGCTGCTGATGCTCTTCAGCCCAGATCCGGACAGCCCCGAGGCCTCGGAGGAGATTGCCCTGTGGGTAGCCGACGAGTTTACACAGCGGCATGAGAACGTCGCGTTATTACTGGGGTTCTTGGGAAAAGACAGGACGGATTTCTACTCGCGGCTTTACTCGCTGCAATTGCTGTCGGCCATCTTGTCTGCACGGACCGAACGGACAGAGGAATGCATCGTCAATACGAGCGACGGCATCCCCCGGCTCGTGGCGGTCCTGGAGGAAGGGAGAGAGGCCGTTCGCAACGAGGCGATCGGGCTACTCACAGACCTCACGCCATCGTCCAACGTGGTCCAGAATTTGGTCACCCTCGAAAAGGGGTTTGCGCCAATATTCGAAATCATCGCGAACGAAGGGGGCCTCGCAGGCGGCGCGAGGGTGGTGGAGGACTGCTTGATTTTGTTGGCCAACCTACTCCGGTTGAATCCCCTGAACCAGACCATGTTCCGGGACATGGGGCACGTTGCAGGAATCAGCCAGCTCCTGAGGGATGCCTACAAAGAAGGCGAGGACGGTCAGGAGATCGCGCAGTGGGTGGAAGTACAGCGCAACAGAAATGTGTACGCCATGCTCGCCGTTATACGGCTGCTGCTTGTTCCCGGCGCAGCTGGGACGCCCCTGAACCAAGAGGCGTTTGTGGGTGAATTAGTAGCCGGCGGGCGGACCCGTGTACGAGGCGGCCCGGTCCTCGAGAGTACTCTTCAGATCGCATTCTCACACGTTGCCGAACTACCGATTAAATCAGAGGCGCTGCTAGCATGCGCGGATATGATTAGAGGCAACGCTAGCGTACAGGCCAGGTTCGCCGGGTTTCAAGTACCATCGCCGCTCGCCGACCCCGTCACGAACGGGCAAGGTGCTCAGATGAATGGCACCCCCAAGGTTTACATCATTGACGGCCTCTTGGACCTCGTTCTGGCCGTGGATTCGCTCCCGGCTTTCGACTTGCGGATGGCTGCTTGCAAGTGCCTCGAAGCGTACTTTTACAAACACGCCGAGATCCGGATGCACTTCCTCGACCATGCGGTCCGGACACACAAGGCACACGCCGACGAGCTCACCAACGCCCTCTCAATCCTCTTGCAGCCAGACCCGGAGGCGGCCGTCGCAGACCCGTACAGGTACTGGTTCGCCGCGGTGCTCATGTTTCACCTGTTGCATGATAACCCCGAGACCAAAGCCTTCGCCATGAGCGTCACCGAGGGCGACGAGGATAGCGGCGAGGAAGTCGTGACGAGTATCCAAACCATGACGGCTCACCTGCTTAGTAGCGTCGCCAAGTCGGAAGACCCACGTATCAGCATTGGCTATCTAATGCTGTTGCTGTGTTGGATGTTTGAAGACCTCGAGGGAGTCAACGACTTCCTCGGTGAATTTACCAATCTCCAGGGCCTCATCCAAGCGGCGATCGAAAATCCCAACGGCGACGTCATGGTGCAAGGCCTGAGCGCGATGCTAGCCGGCGTGGTGTACGAGTTCTCGACTAAGGATTCCCCCGTCCCGCGCGCGAAGGTCAGAGAAATGATCATGTCGCGCATGGGCCGTGATCGCTACGTCGACAAACTATCGCGACTACGCTCCCACCCGCTGATGAGAGACCACGAAGTCCTATCCCAAAAGCTAGAACTCGGCCCCGACCAAAAACTCCCCGACGTCTACTTCGACGACACCTTCGTTGAGTTCTTCAAAGACCACTACAACCGCATCCTGCGCGCCATCGACCGCGACCCGGACTCAGAAACCTCGGTCGTCACCAACGGCGTCCAAAAGGGCGTCTCGCGCAAACTCGTCGACACCCTCCGCGCCGAAGCCGCCGAGAAATCCCAAGCCCTCCAAGAAGCCCACACCCACACCGCCGCCCTCGCAGAGCAGCTCGCCCAGGAACAAACCGCGCACCGCAAAACCAAAGACGCCCTCTCCACGGACCTCGCCCGCGCCCACGACCTCACCACCGCCCTCCGCCAACAACTCACGGCCAAAGACGCCGCCATCCACTCCGCCCAAGAAGACAGCGCCGCCCTCACCCGAAAACTCGCGCACGAACAACAAGAACACCAGCGCAGCCGGGCGGAGGCGGCGCGGCTCAAGACCGCCGGCGAGGCGCTGCAGCGCGAGCACGCACAACAACTCACCGCCCTACAAACCCAGCTGCGCGCGCGCGACGACGAGGCCCGCCGCCTGGTTGACGCTACGCGGAAGAGCGCTGAGCAAGAGGCGGAGCGCGCGCGCCGCCGTTGGGAGGCGGATATGGCGGATCTGAAGGCTACGGTCAGTCGGCTGGAGGTGGATGTGATGAACGCGGAGAAGGGGAGGGGGGTCGCGGAGGAGAGGGTGAAGGTGCTGGAGGGGGTGGTGGTGAAGGGGGAGGGACGGGTGGAGGAGTTGGAGAGGGTGGTGAGGGATCGGGAGAAGGAGGTGGGTGTTAAGGTTAGGGAGGCGGAGGAGAGGACTAGGGAGGCGGAGGGCAGGGCTAAATTGGTAGAGGAGAAGGCGAAGAAGGGGGAGGCGGAGATGCAGGCGCTGAAGGCCAAGGTTGGGAAGGCGGAGAAGGAGGTTAAGGAGGTGAGGGGGTTGGTGAAGGTGAAGGAGGAGGAGCGGAAGAGCGCGCAGAGCGAGCTGGATGATATGTTGGAGGTGTTTGGGGACATGCAGGAGAAGATTACCAAGTATAAGGTGAGTGCTGATGTCCTTGTTCTTGGTGTTGTGGGTGTGTGGTGTCGGTGGGCTAACGGTGGGTTTAGGAACGGCTCAAGGCGCTGGGGCAGGAGGTGTCGGATGGGGAAGACGAGGATGGGGATGATGATGACGACGATGATGACGATGACGATGACGAGGAGGAGGAGGATGAGGAGGAAGATAGGAAATAGGGGAGGGCATTTATTTAACTTTGGCCAGGCTTGGAACTTGTCCGGTTTTCAAAAGCAGGTGAGGCTTATGATGTGCATTTTTAGCGGGTACATGAGTATACAATACCAAGATTTAGACAGCTGCGCTGGAGGTGGGATGATAGACGCAAATGCTCACATGTTTTACTGCTGTTGCTAGGGAGGTTGTCTGTGAAGGGGGGAGAAGGGGTGGACGAGGGGTAAAGGAGGGGTAAAAGTTTTGTTGAACTCGTTCATACGAAAAAGCTAGAAACATACCTAGCTTCATAGGATATAGATATTACCTCTGTTAGCCCTTCTTGGACCAGACTAAATCATCCCATATTATGGGCTGTATAGATAAGTATGTATGTACCTTAGGTAGCGCTACACGGCAAAGTCTGCAGGCCGTCTCCCCACACAACTTTTTTTTTAAGTTTTCTGATCCACACCCACTCAAGAAAAAAGAATCGCTTTACATCCCAATCCCACTTTTACACCCCGGACCATTCTTACTTCCTCTCCTTGACGAACCCCGCCAGAACAAAAAGAAAAAGAACAAGAAAAAGAACCTAACAACAGAACAACATGACGGAAGCATTCCCTCGCTCCGACTCGGAATCGGGTTCCTCCTCGGACAACGAAGATCACTGGCTCAACAAGCCCGGCGATGAGGATGAGGACGACGAGCAGGAGCAGGTTTCCATAATCTCCCTTTTTGATGACAAGGTTTTCTCTGATGCGCCATCTATGCTGGCGTACTGCAAGGACAAGTTTGGCTTTGACTTTCTCGCTGTGCGGGACCGTCTGAGCTTGGACTTCCACGGGTGTGTGAAGCTTATCAACTTGGGTGAGTTCATACATGAAAACCAACATGTCAATATACACAGACCGAAAACGAGTGTCTAACGCGGTGTAGTCCGGAAGGCCGTCAAGGCGGGCGCTACCACGCCAGCGGAGATCACAGCGGAGCACCTGGCTGACGACTCGCTGCTCATCCCCGTGCTGGAGGACGACGCGCTGATCTTCTGCCTGGACGAGCTTCCCGAGCCTGGGAACGGCCAGGCGGGAGCCGGCGCGGTGGCTGATGGCAAGGGGGCGGAGACGAGCAACGGGGCTCCCGCCGTGGACGAGCTCCTGCACAAGAACGCCCAGATGCAGGCCGAGCTGGAGAACCTCACCAAGCAGTTCACCAACTACCGGCTGGCTGTCGAGCAGACGCTGGATAAGCGCTGGGGGGTGGATGAGGAGGGCGAGAAGTCTGGGAGTCCCAAGACGGCTGCTGCCGCCTCTGCCGATGCCGAGGAGGCAGTCCGGGATGACTCGGCTTACTACTTTGAGTCGTACGACCACACCGGTACGCCCCCTTCCCTTCAACACCATAACCACCCTCCCCTTCAAAACCATACCCATAATTCCAACTAACCCTCCCCTCAAGACATCCACGAAACCATGATCAAAGACACGGTGCGCACCAACGCCTACCGCGACTTCATTTACGCCAACAAGCACCTCTTCGCGGGCAAGACGGTCCTCGACATCGGGTGCGGCACGGGGATCCTGTCCATGTTCTGCGCGCGCGCCGGCGCCGCGCGCGTGATCGCGGTCGACAACAGCGCGATCCTGGACAAGGCGCGCGAGAACGTGTTCCGCAACGGCTTCGCCGACACCATCACGTGCGTGCGCGGCCGCATCGAGGACGTCGTCCTCCCCGTCGACGCCGTCGACATCATCGTCTCCGAGTGGATGGGCTACTGCCTGCTGTACGAGGCCATGCTGCCCAGCGTCTTCTTCGCGCGCGACCGCTACCTCAAGCCCGACGGCCTGCTCGTGCCCAGCCACGCGAGTATGTGGGTCGCGCCGGTGTCGGATGGGGAGTTTGTGGCGGATAATGTGGACTGGTGGCGGGATGTGTATGGGTTTGATATGCGCGCCATGCAGGCGGGTATCTACACCGAGGCGCGCATGACGGTGATGCCTGGTGAGGCCGTGTGTGGCGAGGCGCATGCGTTCCGGATGTTGGATCTGCATACTGCCAAGGTGGAGGATTTGGTGTTTGAGGATAAGTGGCAGTCGACGCTGTCGGATAAGGTGGAGGCGTTGGATGGGTTTCTGGTGTGGTTTGACTGCTTCTTTGGCGAGAGCCGGCAAGAGGTGGTGGAGGCGCAGTTGACGGCCAAGGAGTGGACAGCTGGTGGGAGAAAACGAGTGGCGATACTCCCGACCCGACAGATCTTGCCTGCGTTGGAGGAGATAGATGAAGTTTGACTACTAGAGTACCGGCATAGAATTCGAAGTACGGCCGGAAAAAAAAC